TCTATCTATCTATCTATCTATCTATCTATCTATCTATCTATCTATCTCTACCTACCTACCTACCTACCTACCTACCTACCTATCATCTATCTATCTATCTATCTATCTATCTATCTATCTATCGAGAGAAGGAGAGAGAGAGACTCACCCTGGTGGTTGAAGTCGTAGATGTAATCTGGGCAGGGTATGGAGACCACCTTCCCTGGGGCCCCTTCCGGCCAACAGATGAGGTTATCCCACTCGGGGGCACAATACCCCTCTGCAAGACACAAACAAGGGAGTTGGAGAGCGGTGGGAGATCAGGCACAGGTCACCTTCTGCAGAGGTAGGTAATCCTTGACTTACAACCACACATTCAAAGTTACAACGGCACTGAAAAAAGTGACCTATGACCGTTTTTCACACTTATGACCATTGCAGCATCCCCAGAGTCACGTGATCAAAATTGGGACAATTGGCAACTGGCTCGTATTTATGACGGTTGCTGTCTCCTGGGTCATGTGATCCTCTTTTGCGACCTTCCTAGCCGGCTTCTGACAGTCATAGTCAATGGGGGAAGCTGGATTCGCTTAAAGGCATGTGATTCACTTAACGACTGTGGCAAAACCAGTTAGAAAATCAGGTGCAACTGTACATATACAGAAACATTCAACACAACTGTGTAACTTAATAATACTTCCTTTTTCTTCCTGGTATGTACAGTATTTCTCTCCTTGACACATTAGAACAGATGACCATGGCTTCTTTGTCTGCCTTTATCAAAGCTGAAATTATGCCTAAATTCTGGCTGTCCTTCCTTCCTCCCTTCCTCAATTATTCCTTCCTTCCCTCCCTCCCTCCTCTCTCTTCCTTCCTCCTTCCCTCCCCTTTCTTTTTCTTCTGTACTTCCTCCCTTCCTTCCATTCTTCCCTCTTCCTTCCCTCCCTCCTTCCTTTCTTTTCCTGTCCTTCCTTCCTTCCCTCCCTCCCTCCTTCCCTCCCTCTCTTTCCTTTCTTCCCTCTTTGTTTCTTTCTTTTTCTCCTTTGTTTCTTTCTTTTTCCTTCTTTCTTTTTCTTTCTTTCTCTCTCTCTTCCTTCCTCCCTTCCTCAATTATTTCTTCCTCCCTCCCTCTTCCATCCATCCCTTCCTTCCCTCCTCCCTCCTTCTCTTCCTCTTGCTTTCTCCTTGCTTCCCTCTTTTTCTTTTCTCCTCTTTTTGTCTTTCTTTCTCCTTCCTTTTTCTTTCTTTCTCTCTCTCTTCCTTCCTCCTTTCCTCAATTATTTCTTCCTCCCTCCCTCCCTTCTTCCTTCTTTTCCTCCCTCCCTCCTTCTCTTCCTTTCTTCCCTTTCTTTTTCTCCTGTTTTCTTTTCTTTCTTTCTTTCTTTCTTTCTTTCTTTCTTTCTTTCTTTCTTTCTTTCTTTCTTTCTCTCCCTCCTCTTTCTTTCTCTCTCTTTCTTTTTTCCTTCCCTCCTTTCTTTCTTTCTTTCTTTCTTTTCTTTCTTTCTTTCTTTCTTTCTTTCTTTCTTTCTTCTTTCTTTCTTTCTTTCCTCAACATCTGCTCCACATGGGAAGCCCACAACAACCATCTGCATCCTGGCAAGGAAAGAGACGCCAGCCCAGCTCGGAAGGTGTTTGCGTAGCAGGATAGAATATAAATCACCCCGAGGTCAGGCTGGCACTCTGAAGGGGGCAGTGGCAACCACAGGCAGGCTGGCCTGGTGTGGCCTTGTGGTGATTCTATTACGGGAAGGACGAGCCGTGCTTGGAAAGAAATGGGAGACAGAAACCTCAAGAGTACCAGAAAAAGACAGGGGGGAGGAGAGGGAAAAAAGAATAATGGAGAAGAGGAGAAGGAAGGGAGGGAGGGAGGGCAAGAAAGAGGGATGGAGGGAGGGAGAGGAAGAGGAAGGGAGAGAGAAAGGCAAGAGAAAGGAAAAGGAAGGAAAGATATGAGTAAATAAGGAAGAAAGAGGAAGAAGAGAGACAGAAAGAGGAAGGAAGGAAGGAAGGAAGGAGGAAGGAAAGAAGGAAAGGGCAGAAAAGCAAGAAAGCAAAGGAGAGAAAGAGGGAGAGAGGGAGAATAAATGGAAGGAATGGTGACAGGGAGGAAGGAAGAGTAAAACATATAAAAGAAAGAATAAAGGAAAAAGGAAGGAAGGAAGGAAGGAAGGAAGGAAGGAAGGAAGGAAGAAAAGAAGAAAGAAAGAAAGAAAGAAAGAAAGAAAGAAAGAAAGAAAGAAAGACCAATCCACAGCTTTGGCTACCAATAAGAGACCCACATGAGACCGTTTGACTTGCCACCGTGAACTCTGCCACATCCGTAAGACCTGGTGAAGTTGTCCTTCAGGAGCCTTCTGTAGCCAGAACACAGGGGCCTTCCTGCCTCCAGCATCAGATCCTCCCCTACGAAGATCCCACCAAACCCAGGCAGGACTTGCCTGCCTAAATCAAGGACCAAGGAGCCACCATGTGTGAGATTTGCAAGTTCTCATGCCTGCAAGAGTGAGATGCTTCTACCAAGCCTACAAGTCCAGAAGTCACCAACATGGAGGGATGGACCTCAGGCAGCAAGAAAGGGCCAACAGACCAATGAGTAAGCCAGCTGCCATCTTATGCCCTCCAGATTGACGTCCATTTGTTTTTCCTCAAAGCAGAAACATCTGGAATCCCTGGCAGGGCCAGCATGGCACTGCCCGTCTCTTGCTGCTCCAAAGATCACATCTGGAGAAGGCATCAGAGCTTCTCCTTCCAACCACCAGGCGATGCCAGGCCCGAGAAATGGGTGGACCTCAGCCCCCCAACTAAATATGATTCAACCAGAAAGGTCAATAAATTAAATCCAGCTAATACGATTAAGGGAAAGACTCCCTTGTGAAGGCGAGTAGGACTTCACAAACACGTCTCTGTCGTTTTCTTGGCCGGGATGACCAACGTGGTTTGAGATGGCCTCCATCCAGGATGTGAGATTTCGACTCAAAATTTCCAGGTGGCACAGACTGGAATTCTCCTTCCAGCTCACATCAACCAAAGGCCCCTTTCAAGTTGGCCGAATCTGTCGGTTGGAGAACCTTGAGAAGTCAAGGAGAAACCAGGAGGAACTGGGAGAAATTTGGGATAATGATAATAATTCAGGAAAAGAAGGTCCTTTTTATGTTGGAGGTTTTCTGTTAAGTCAAAGAGGGATGGACAATGAAGAAGGGCTCTAGATGAGTGTCTCTCAACCTTGGTCACTTGAAGACTTTTGGACCTCAACTCCCAGAATTTCCAAGCCAACCTTCATCTCAACGTCCACCATTCCAGCCCATCTGGAGAGAAGCTCGCCCTGCATCTCTGGGGGATTCTGGGAGTTGAGGTCCACATGTCTTAAAGATGCCAAGGTTGGGAAACAGTGTTCTAGAGCAGGGGTCTCCAACCTTGGCAACTTTAAGACTTTTGGACCTCAACTCCCAGAATTCCCAAGCCAACCTTCATCTCAATGTCCACCATTCCAGCCCATCTGGAGAGAAGCTGGCCCTGCATCTCTGGGGGATTCTGGGAGTTGAAGTCCACAAGTTTTAAGGTTGCCAAGGTTGGAGACCCCTATTCTAGATATTCCTTCAATTTAGAACTATCTGTTGAACCTAGAATGTCCACCATTCCTGCATGTCTGGAGAGATGCTGGATCTTCATCTCAGCAATGCTTGGCTGGGGGATTTTGGGAGTTGAAGCCACACATCTTCAAGTGGCTAAGATTGAAAAAAACTGTTCTAGATATTCCTTCTATGGCTTGGTACCATGTGTCGGATCTAGAACATCCATAATTTGAGGCCAGCTAGAACGAAGTTTGATTATCTCAGCTTGCTTGGCTGGGAATTGTGGGAGTTGAAGTCCCCATGTCCTAAAGTATCCAAGAATGAGAAACACTGTTCTAGATATTCCTTCTACAGCTTGGAACCATTGTTAGACCTAGAATGTCCACCATTCCACCCCATCTCTGGAGAGAAGCTGCCCCTACATCTCAGCATGGCTAGCTGGGAATTGTGGGAGTTGAAGTCCCCATGTCTTAAAGTATCCAAGAATGAGAAACACTGTTCTAGATATTCCTTCTACAGCTTGGAACCATTGTTAGACCTAGAACGTCCACCATTCCACCCCATCTCTGGAGAGAAGCTGCCCCTACATCTCAGCATGGCTGGCTGGGAATTGTGGGAGTTGAAGTCTCCATGTCTTAAACTATCCAAGAATGAGAAACACTGTTCTAGATATTCCTTCTACAGCTTGGAACCATTGTTAGACCTAGAACGTCCACCATTCCAGACTCTCTGGAACAAAGCTGGTCTTGCATCTTTTTTGAAGTTGGGAAAACAGGAACCAGCTCAAGAGATGCTGAGCCTTGGAGACAGGAAAATTCTTTCAGCCACGTCAAAGCGTGAATTGTGTGTGTGTGCTTTGGACACTCTCCACACCATGAGGTCTTGCAAATACACACCCGTGTGTTTTGATTGAACCTATCCGATTTTGACAGGGCAGTTTGGTCCAGCAAATAAAAGCATTATTTATTAGGTGGGTGAAGAAGGAGGAGGAAAGAGGGAGAAAGAGGCATCTGGAATTAACCAGTTGGCGCATTGGCGAGAACCTTATTTGGGCAAAGATGGGAACTCACACCCCACAATGGTGGGGTGAAGCGATGGGGCTGGCAGAGATCCTAAAACTGATTGCGCTAATTAAAGAAAAGAATTTATCTAGTTTTGTTTCCATTTTGGGAACCACTTCTGGATTTTGTACTTAAAGCTAAAAAAAAAAAAATATATGGGAGTCTAATTTTAGGTGTTGTGGACGAGAGAGTGATGTCATTGTTATAAAAAGGGTTGCAAACATTTAGAAACAGAAATATGGTGTTTTCTGAGCTGGGTGCAGGCATTTAATGACCCAGCTAGGGAACAACATCAGTGCTAGAAGGGAGAGGGGTTCTAGGGTTTAGCATTGATGATGTTACCTCGTTGGGTGATGAAAGGTCTATAAGAACACAAACAAGCTCAGAGAGGACTGAGGACCCCCCCCCCCACCAGTCCTCCTCCTCATCTCTGCAAACCCCACGTCCTACTAGCAAGGAGTTACCTAGCTGGGCCATGAAAGTTGCCAGGTCTGCTTCCAAAAAATAGCGGACAAGTGGGGGGGGGGGGTGTTAAGTAGTAAAAAAAAATAAAAAAAAATTACAACTAAATTATTTATTTTCTTACAAACATTTTAACACGTATTAAATAATCACTTCAAAACT